ATTTTCAATAAACTGCAATGGAAGAGACAGAAGCCCTATAATCAAACAGCCAGGTAAGAAAATTTATAAAGAGAGGAACAGTGGGGTTAGTAGAGGAAACCCCATGGCTTAAAGACTAACGGTGGAAGATGTTCCACTTATGTTGATAAACTGCAAGGGAGGAACGGTGAAAAGATCGGGCTAAAAAGGTAGTAACATGCATAGACAATCCGGATCTCCTTGCAAGGGACCAGATAAATGGCAAACATAAAGTTGGAGGGTGTGAAGATGAAAGACTGGTGACTGAAGTTGACAGTGGAGGGATGGAGTGAGAAGAAGTGGTAACCAAGGTTGTGCCAGCCAGTAGAAAGCAATCAGAAGGACCTGACATGGAGTGGAATGGATAACCAAAATCACCTTAGGAAGGAGCCAGATAGGAGGGTAGGTATAAAGGTACCAGTAGGTCAAGTCCCGACTGAGAGCATCCACTGCCAGAGTCTGTGGATGAGGAACTGGAGACCAAAAAGAGATGTAACTTGGTGTTGAAGAAAGTTGCAAAAGTTTCGAAATGAGGAGTACCCCACTGATTGCAAAGCCACTGGAAAGCAACCACTCCATGGGTTAAATTTGATTGGGCCGAGAAAGATGATCTGCCATGAGGTTGAAAGCACCTGGAACATGACATGTTATGAGACATATCTGTAGTGTGTGGGCCCAATAAAGAAGTTCCAGTGTTCAACCATAAAACTAAGGAGAATGGGTGACTAATATAGGAGACAAAGGTGGAATTAACTTAATGGATCATGATGAGTTTGTTCTGTAAAATAGGAAGAAAATGAACAAAAGCATGCTGTACCACCAGAAGCTCCAATATGTATATATGATATGATTGTTCTATCTGAGACTATTGTCCAGAATTTTCCTGCTGATCAACCCATACCCTAACCCCAGAGAGAAGCATTGGTGAACAGATGCAAACCTGGAGGATGAGGAAGTAGTACCCCTGTTGTGGTGTTGTTCTTGTTCAATCACCAATGAAAATCATCAAGAAGGAAAGGAGGAAGAGTAACTGGGGAATCCAAGGGATCCCAAGCAAGATTCCACTGGTCGTGCAATGCCAACTGAAGAGAATGTTTATGTGCATGACTCAAGGGGATATGGTTTCCATGAAAGCCCTAGTCCCCAAAAGCTATAGAATCTTGTTTGCAGAAACAGAGGGAGAAGAAAGGATGTGGAGAACTGAAAGCTTCATCAAATGCAGACGAAGTGGAGAAGGTTGAAAAACACATCCACGTGGACAAGATAATGGGTGGGAATCAGAAAAGACTTCTCCATCTTGAGAATCCAACTCACACAAGCTGTTTCCGTCAATAGCAGACAAGTGTGTTGAGAAAACACCAGTTCAAAAGGAGCTAACAGAAGCCAGTCATCCATGTAGTGGTGGAAGCACAACCCTCGAGTATGCATAAGTTGGACAAAGGCCCTGTCCACTCAACAAAACATATATGATGCTCAAGCAAGCCTGAATGGTAAAGTGCAAAACTGGAACACAACCCCATTGTGGACAAATTGAAATATCATCTGGACTGATGAGAAATGGAAATATGGAGGTAAGCATCCGAGACTTCCATCTTGGTCATCCACAGACCTGGAAAAAAAGCCCACTGATGGGTGAGAAAAGATTCCATGGTAAAGCGGAAGAAGATCCAGAAAGTGGTTGAAGTGGGACAGATTGATCACAAGATGCCAGTCCCTGGTCTTCTTGGGGATGGCAAAAAGGTTGGAGTAAACACTTGGAGAAGAAAGACTGACAGACTCTATAGCACATTTTGAGAGAAGAGTTTGAACTATCTCAGATAGATGTGGTATTGGAACCTGAAACAAAGGCAGTGGGGAGAGAAATGGGAAAAAAATCTGTCTGATAAAACTCTGATCACCCATGGGTCGGAAGTGAACTCCTGCCACAGGTGAACAAAATCACATAAACATGCCACAACTGGTCCAGAAACCAGGTAGTCACAGGAACTGTTGGCGACAATGAGTATCATGGCAAGCTAAATGACAAATCAACATACTCCTGGAGGAAGGAAGAGGCAGATGATGGGAGGATGAAGGATGGGAAACAGGTATAGACGATGGTATTGGTGCAGGCTGACATAAACAAGCAACCAAAAAAGAAAGGGTTGAGTGTTGCCTTACAGATTCCAAAGATTCAGGAATGTCTCCAAAAACAGACCTATGGAGAAACGGATCCATCCTCAGGTCACAAAGGTATGTGGAAGGTAGACAAACCTGAGAGAAGTGTCTGTACTAAGGAGATCCCAACAACAAAGAAACCACATGTTAAGGGAAGATGCCAAGGAGAATAATCACACCAATGGTGAGGTAATGAGGGAATGGTTATCCTCTAAATACCCCTCAGGTGATTAGAGGAGAGCCTCATAAAGGAGGTGTATGAATGACTGATGTAAGGGTAAGAAGAAGGTGTGAAACCTGGGCATGGAATAAGAATATAGGATTATCAGGATCTGCTCTCCCACACAGGAAAAAGTGACTTCAACTGCTGTGAGCCTCATGATAAGCCAATGTATAATGATCAGATGCCTGTGGTGGACAAGGCATGCTGGTACAAGCCCTCAACTGAGAAATAAAATGCTCAGCATGTACCCTGATATCAGGTAATTAGACGATGGGGTAGCATGTAACAAGGAAAGGACAGGATCATATAAAACTGGGGATACAGATAAAATCTAAAAAACCTGAGAAATCATTTACAATAAAGCTAAGGGAGGCCTGGCTGAATCCTCAGGAGAGGCATGGAAGTGCACAGTATAGGTAAAAGGTGGAAAAGCTGTCAAAATACTCCTCATCATGAACAGGTTCGACAATGACAGGAGGAGCCTGAACACTGTTGGGAGAAGAGAACAGATGCATGTAAAGATCAATTCTCCTGATGAATGATGGCCAAAATATCCTCAGCTGAGACCCCAGGTCTTGAACCCTGTTATGACATTTGAAGTTGTACGAACGGAAGCTGAAGTCTTGACATGAAATTCCAAATTCACAATAGACTGGGAACAAATTGAAAATTGAGAAAAGGTAAGAAAAAAGTACTAGAAACTGCCTAATGAGAAGTGATGGTTAGGAATAATTGAATAGAGGGAGTCACGTGTGTCACACTCCTATTGGTGGAGTTGTCGCATGATGTTGATCGTGGTGTAGGTGGGAGTTTCAAAGCTTGTGGCATGTGAAAAAATTTTGCATATAGATGGCAGCACTGAACAAGAATAGCTATTATGTGAGAGGAGAAAAGGTACCATATCGGAATATAGATAGTTTTAGAAAAAAAAGTGACATTCATTTAAGAAACAAATGGTTATGCAAGTGAAACGTGTAAACTTTATGATGAAAGTGAGTATTTTTATTCATAACATGAAACTTATCTTGCACTCAGACTACACAGAGACTGAGTCAGACTGACTCTGTGAATTAACAGACATCTTTAGTAAAAACACATTATTAAAAACTATGTTCTTTTGTAGTCAACATACTTGTAATATTTATTAAAAGCCTACCAAATTTCATGAAGATACACTAAGTCAATTCAGAAGTATAGTAAACATAAACTCTCCAATAGAAGTGTTAGTCCAGTGGATCAACCCCATGCACAAAGCGTTAATCCTTGTCAAACTGTTTGGGATGATTACTTGCCATATGTTATGTTATGATTGTCCTGCACAATGGATCAGAGTACAACAGGTTGTACATTGAACATGCTCAAGTTTGGTAGAGAAATACTGCTCTCAGATGTGACATATGGTCCACACCAACTGAAAGTGTAATACAATGTCCACAGGAATATATGAAATGGCTGCAAGTTATGTTACCAAACATGCACAAGTTTGCATTTCAACAACTGAGAAATACTGCCATGTGGTAGAAGAGATGTTATGGTAAAGCAGTAAAAGAACATTGATTCCAGTAAGAAGTGGCTTTGTTTGTTGCATTCCCAGGTGACTCAGTGAGATTACATATTTAGTGTTCATTGGGATTGACACAGAAGGTTTGCTACTATGTTCTTTTTAATGTAAGCTTATAGTATATGTCCAGTAACAAAAATATTGTTAAAAACTATTATCAGTGTAATGATAATAATGTCACATAAGCTAACACTAATTTTATTAAACTATGTGGATCAACAATGCCTAAAGAAGGTCCAAGGAGCGATTGGTTAAATAAAAAAAAAACAAATAAAATACTTGAGTGATGTTTGTGTCTTGTATTTCTCACTCCTAGATATTCTGTTCGAGGTATTTTGTTTTCCCACTATATATAGATTTCCTTGCCTCACATTTGAGCCAAATCCTTAATCAATTAGGTGAAAGGATTAACTCCTAATCACTTTTTAATGACTCAACCTACTACATTATTCCCCTTTCTTAAATAATAATACCCATCTTTAAGGCCTGATGTCAGGGTTATGGGATGACCCTAAGTTGGGCTCTAATGTGGTAGTTTTATCTTTAGAATATATATATTTCTTCACCTGATATTTGAAGCTAATACCATGCAAGTGTTCTACCTACTGAGATAACAGGCTAAACCCCTAATGCTTGCTAATAAGTCATTTTGGAACACTCAGACTATTATACTACTACACTGCACAGTAAAGGCTGTCTCCAAGATAAAATTATTGATAATGATTAATATTCTAGAAGGCTTGTCTAAATCTGAGTTTGCAATTAAAAGTCATGTGAATTATTTCAGCATCTTTTTTCTCTAAATATAGGTAAAAACATTACCAGAGATACTTGCTGACAATACCATATCATTATGGGTAAAGCAGAAGTGCTTGCTAAAAGAACTGGTCTTTAGCAATAAAAAAAATTATATTAAATATATTATCTAAGTATAATTTATATAGCTTAGCACTGACGTTTGTTAAACACTGATAAGATTAATAATAATTTTAATTTAAAATTTATTATTTCTGTCAAAATACTCAAAACCTTTTAACTAACCTGCCACTAGGTAGATCATGTTGGTTTTCAATACTTTTGTGTGTTCTAGATGGCATGCTATCACAGCATTCCCTTGAAGTTTGAATTACTGGTATTTGTTCTAAATTCATGCTCTGGGTATAAGGAAACAGACTTCCATGCCAATGAAAGAAAATAGGTTTTGTGTTTTCACTATTTGAAGCACTCCTAGGTTGAGGTATTAGGCCTAATTCATTCTTTGTTCTTGAAGGTTCATTGCTCTGAGCAAGTAATACACATTAAAGAGACTGTACAGCAATTATACATACATACATATAAAATTTCAAATAATTCCTTTGTAAATTAATTCTTGGAATCCTTTATCTCCTTTCATGGTTTTATCAATCAATGAGAAATTACACCATGTTGACAGATATTAAAATTACTGTACTGAGTACCAAATTAAGATTTCAGATTATTATAATTGGTAAATCCCAAATGGTTTCTCTATCTTAGTGAAACTCCACTAACATTATTTCCATCCATCAATTTTAAAATTATTCAAATGGTGATATATGTTCAAATGCTCATGTACAACAGTATGGATTAAGATATTCTGTCCCTTCAAGTAAAGGCCAGTGGAAAGAGAAAAAAAGTGCTTTTTGTTCTTTACTACAGAAAGTACGTTTTAATACACACATATATATATTACACTTATTTTATGAAGCAAATGTAACATTTGGATTAATCATATTTGTTTCACATTTTAACATTTAACAGAAAACCATTGTTAATGTAAATGCTTATTTTAGGGCTTGGAACTTCAGCATTATAATGCATTTGGAAAACACTTCTGTAAAGTTTTCTAAAATGGATAGGTTTTCTCTTTGCCTACAAAATGAATCTTTGAAAGTGTCTGAATTGCTATTTTCCAGCTGATTATATTTGTCTACATCAAAACAAATTTTCTTCTTGAAATTATAATCACATAAATAAACAATAATTTATACCACCATAAATAATAACTAAATACAAGGAATCCAAAAAGATTGTTTTTATTTCCCTTTTATGAATGCTTTTTCCTCCTACTTCTGCCAAGAATTTTTTATGTTAGAGGGAAACAATTCCTAATCCATGATATGGCATAAACTACGTCTTTGAAATAACTAAACATAAAGAGATATTAACAAATAGATACTATAGATATGTACCCTAAAATGGCTTCATGCATATTTTGTGCAGTAACTCCTGCTCCTGTTACCGCAGATCGGCCAATCTCCACGAAGAAAAAACAATCTGTGTGCCCAAATCTTCGGATACTCATGAACTTCAAATTATAGTCTAATATTAATGAGTTAAAACGACACTTGTGTAAAACATTTATTAACAATTAAAAGAAATACAACATTAAAATCATTACACAATGAATATTTATTAAAAACAGGGACTTGCTCTAAAAAATACTCTACATTTTCCTAAGACATCATCTTCAGAAATAACAGTAAAGGCTTGACTGGGAGTTACATACCCACATAATCATTTACATACCAATAATGCCATCTAGGCTTAAACTACACAGTTACAAAACATTTGTTCAGTACTTGATTATTTCTAGACCTGGACCAGCTTCCTTGTTTAACACAATATCTTTGTTTTTTTCAATTTCAATAGTTTCTCTGTAATCAAATTCAGTTTTAAATTCTAACTGTTTAATCAACTTAGTGTTACTCCAGTCTATAACATGAGATGTTTCTACTACATTTTTATGTTCTTTGATCCTGAACTTTATATTTCTACCCGTTTGACCAATATAAACTCGACCACAGATACAAGAAATTTTATAAATCCCACATTTAGCAACTTCTTCTATTCTATCTTTTGTACTTGTGAGATTACTTAATTTACAATGCGGAGAGAATGTTACACTAAATTCTATGTATTTTTTCATTATATTACTTATTCTTGTAGATAAGCCTTGAACATATTGCAGACAAACTATCATGTATTTACTTTGCATTTTCCCTCGAACCAATAATTTCGAGTTTATATCTTCTATGGCTGGATACATGTTTCAAGAAACTTAACCCTGTGTTACGTCCCCGTTTGTTAATTAACTTTCCGTAACTTCGTTCTGACGAAACTTTAGCGACACAAGTCCTTACTTAGTAAAACTGGTTTATTCTTTCCGAATATAACTTTACCGATACACTTATTTCAATAATCGCGCTAAACAAACGCTGTAACAACGCTTCCCACGGTGCCTTCCCATCATATTCCTGTGACTTCCTTTGCACTGGATCACTCCTATTACTGACATTCATATCTGGGATGTGACTTCTAACGGGACTGAATGTGTCTGCATTAGGGTTTAGCTGCGGGCGCTGTAAGGGGCTTGCTATTGTCTGGGGCTGATTAAGTCGATGGTCAATGTATCCTCCTTGTGTAACAGACAATAAATCGTCTCTTAATGTATCTAATTCGCTTTTAAATTTACTATTTTTTTCCATTTGTACTTCTTGTTTCCTTTCTTGTTCCAGTTGCCACTGCTGTAGTCTCTCTTCTTGTTTCTTTTTTCGTTCTTCTTGTTTATTTTCTTTCTCCTCCAACAACTGCTGTAATTTCTATTCTTGTTTATTTTGTTGTTCGAGCTGCCACTGTTGCAGGTTTTCTTGCCACTGCTGTAACCTTTCTTCTTGTTTCTTTTCTCGTTCATCAAACAGCTGCTGTAATCTCTCTTCTTGTTTATTTTGTTGTTCGAGCTGCCACTGTTGCAGGTTTTCTTCCAACTGCAGTTGTCTCTCTTCTTGTTTCTTTTCTTTTTCCTCTAACAACTGTTGTAATTTCTCTTCTCGTTCTTCTTGTTTAATTCCTCGTTCTTCTTGTTTCTTTTGCTGTTCTTGTATTGCTGCCATCAAGTCTGCTATGCTGTAGTTTGCTTTGCTGCTTCTCGTTTCCATTTTGTTTATCCCACTCTCTGACACCAATTTGTTACCTCTCCGTTTGTTAATTAACTTTCCGTAACTTCGTTCCGACGAAACTTTAGCGACACAAGTCCTTACTTAGTAAAACTGGTTTATTCTTTCCGAATACTACTTTACGATACACTTATTTTCAACAATCGCTCTATAACAAACGCTATATCAACGAACCTCAACAATACTTCTGACTGCAGTTCAATTACTCACTATCTACACACACATTACCTTCCCGTCACGTTGTCACCCTCTTTTATATACCAGACTACCCTATATGTAGTAAATGCTAGAGCATTTGCCAAAGTACAGGATAGTTCTATAAAGTAGAGGGCGTGAGAATAGTCACGTGATCTCGATGACGCAACAACTGCATCAAAGCACCGAGATGATCCATAAAATATAAACTTTTCTGTAGCTTCTATACTGCTAAGGAAACGAGGCCAACACTTCATTAAATGGTCACATGTATTGGCGTTCATTGCCCGGTTATGATGCAATAGCTGTTACTAACTTGGCTATTGATTCACTCTGCTATTGACCCTGGGTCACTGATCTCCCAGGCTCGCCTCTCAAACTTGTGCACGTGCTGTGCTATTTATTTCTGAAGGTCTAACCTAGTTCATCTTAATAATTTCTCAAGGCTTATTTCTCAACACAGGCGTCTCCTTGTCGCCTCCCTTTTCTTTTTATATCTATCTTAACTTGTTTGCTCGTTTTGTTAAGAGTTTCAAAGGAGTTTTATCCTAAGTATTTCTAAAGTACTTTTAATTATCCATAACTATTGAAGCAATTGATGAAATTTCCTCGAAAATTTCCAGTTGTTTCACATTCAGCAGGTTGCTTCCATGGTCAACCACCCCAGCAGCTTGGAACTGGTAAGTAGTAAGGATTACCATACTCCACTGCGATAAAGAGGGAAAAAGTGCAGTGGTTGATCACTAAACCCAATTTTTAATAGCAGGCCACACCGATTTATTCAATCTAGGTATAGCATGGGTGGTACAGTCTAAGACGGGCATATTATGATGCAGTTATCACGAGGAATTTATACTCTAGTGACCTTGTGAAACACCCCAGGGTGAGCGTACATAGCCATGGAAAATGTATAAGAAACAACATGGCTTACAGTGCAGATTTGATAGCAAGATGTCTGCGAATGGTTATATCCATCTAAGTGGAACCCATTCCGAGTACAGACAGAATACCTGGTCAGGCACCACTCTCCATAGAATGGGATTTAAAGTGAAGCTGAAAGATAAGAAAGCATTAGTAAGGACTCACCTTGTGTCACAGCCATGGCAAAGTCTGTAGAATAGCCACAGGTAGCAGGTGATACCATGAGGAAGCAAAAAAACAGCGATGTGATGTAGGTAGTGGGAGATGAACATGTGTGGAGTCGTTCACATGCTCGATCGTAGAATCTCCTCCAATAACTGACAAGAAGCAAGGGAGAAGGTAAGGTAACGGATTTTATGTGAAGAAACGTGAAAGAGATCACACTGGAAAGGAGACAAGGGGAATAGGCCAAATGAATCAAATGTCAAACCCAACTGGTCAAGGTAACCTAGGAAAGATCACAGGAAGAGGAAAATTGTCAAGGGATGAAAAAAAAGATGAGAACAAGGACCCCGGAAGAAAGCCATGTGAGCAGTATAACAATAGAATGGATGGACAGGACAGAGAAGTCTATCCTGATCAGGATGATGGTAGAGATGAGATATAGAGGATAAGCAGATAGGGAAAAAGGAGGACTGACCCTTTCAAGCTACAGAGATCTTAGGAAGGAAAGCACAATCCAGATAAAGGATAAGATAGAAGGAGTGGTACAAGGTCCTGATAATGTGGAGGGCGAAAATATCCGACCTATGATGCTCCCAGGCTAGGAGGAGGAGGAGGAAATATGCCTTCAAAGAGAGGTGAAACAAGGAACATGTAGAAAGAGGTTCGAATAGATGTAAAGTGAGAGCATGAAGGTCCACATTAATATCCAAGTCTGGGAGTGATGGAGGCCTCAATGTATGATGGAGCCAGAAGGAATGGATCAACATGGAAAGGACAGGGGAAGCAAAGATCCTGCAGAGATGAAAAAATGGAAGATATGGGATAATGCTGCCCAAAACCCTGAAATCGAAAAGTCCAAAGAACCCTTTTCAAAGAGCCATGTGAGAAACTCGGAGATACAGGCAACCATTGGGTGAGAAGCCTGGAAACCCCGAGTCATTGCTCAAGAGTGATAAATGCTCCACTTGCATTAACAAATGGCCAAAAAAGAAGGGTGAATTGAATGGGCTAAATGTGAAGCTACACTGCAAGAGAAACTAGAAGTTCTCACCAAAGACCTGACAAAATCCAGGCTTGAAGACAGAGGACAGATGGCGGGGGATGGAGCACCAGTGGCTGAGGTTGATGGAGCAAGTTGAGAGGAAGGAAAGAGGAGCAACTGAGGGTACCAAGGTTTAGTGGGCAAGTACAGCACAAACAGAAGGACTGTGTGAAAGTAGTATGGATGAGGGAGAACACCAGATGAAGTATAAGGATGGGAGGGCAAATATAAAGGAACAGATGAGACCAATCCTGGCTGAAGGCATCAATAGCCAGAGTTGGAAGACAGGAAACCAGGGACCAAAACTAAAGTAATTTGTGATTGAGGGTGGTGGCAAAAGGCAATCGATTTGGGACATACCCAGATGTAAACAGAGCCACCACAAAACAGCAGGATGCAGAGACCACTCCATGGAATAAATTAAATCCAGTCAGGAAAGACGATTGGCTATGAGATTGAAAGCATCTGCTACATGACACGCCATCAAACGAATTTGATGTATATGGATCCAATAAAGAAGATCCATAATGTGAAAACACAGGGATCTGGACCTGTTGCCACCTTGATGATTGACATAAGCCACCAAAGTAGAATTGTTCGAATGGATCATAACCAGCCCGTGGCTGACAAGAGAAAGAAAGTGATCCAAAGCCCAACAAACAGCCAGGAGTTTAAGAACATTGATGGGAAAACTACTCCACAGACCACCAACCCAAAATCTGGTGATCCATCCAGGCACTCCAGCCCTGAAGGGATGCATCTGTGAACAGTTGGTTATCTGGCCATGGAGGAGGAAGCATGATCCCCACTCATGTGTGGGCGCTGTTCAACCACCAATGGAGATTAACTACAAGGGATAAGGGAAAGGATATAGAAGTCTCCAAAGGATCCCAAGCAAGGTTCCATTGATCATGAAGAATGTTTGTTTTTTCTTTGTTTTTGAATTTCGCGCAAAGCTACACGAGGGCTATCTGTGCTAGCTAATTTAGCAGTGTAAGACTAGAGGGAAGGCAGCTAGTCATCACCACCCACTGCCAACTCTTGGGCTATTCTTTTACCAACGAATAGTGGGATTGGCTGTCACATTATAATGCTCCCACGGCTGAAAGAGCGAGCATGTTCAGTGTAATGTGTATTCGAACCCTCAGATTGCTAGTCGAGCACCCTAACCACCTGGTCATGCCAGGCAATTGTGAAGAACCTATTGAAGAAACTGCATATGGGCCCTGCCCAGGGGTATGAGAGGGGTCATGGAGGAACATATCCTCAAAAGTGATAGATTGATAAGGTATTGGGTATGATGAAGTTTTTCTCCAATTTGACCAACCAGCTCATCTGCTCAGCTTTGGCTAGTAGCTGATGAGTGTGATAGGCTGATTTCCATTTGGAATGAGCAAGAAGAAGCCAGTCATCCATATAAACATGGAAGCACAACCACATGGAATGAA